CTGGACATTATTTATTCCATACTCGTAGTATATAAAATAACTAGTAATAAACTTACTTTTGACGTCATAAGTTTATCCAAGAATTTTTTGTTATTACTTACCACCACCTGTAGAGGCCTTAACTTGACAGGTCTCCTTTCAAAAATGTTAGGTTAAGTAACACTACTAATTATTTTTTAAAAAACAACAATGTGTTTAAAATAAGCCTTCTCTTTTAATCTGTTTAATGTATGTGTTTTGTTTTGTATAGTCTTGAAAATTTTAAATTTTTAACTATTTAAACTGACTAATATTTGTTTTTCAATTATTTTTAACTTTTATATAACTTGTAACATTGTTTATTTTACAATTTATTTCATCCCCCACATTTGATGAAACTTGTTTGTAGTATTCCCTAGTGGATGGAGAGTATGGTGAGTTTTCTTTTTTACTATTTTATATATCGTTGGCTCAAAGTTAACACACCTTACACCACATATTCTCCTTTCCACTAGGCGAGCCTGAAGATGAAGTGATGATACTTCGAAACCGGTCGCACTCAATGTTTTATTGAATAATTAAACATTAACTTTCCTTGTGAGATATAAAGGACTTTTTCTCCCCCTTCACCTTAAAATTTAAAGAATTATATAAAATAAACTAGATTTTCACTCAGTTAAAGTCAATACAAGAAACTACAGACATCAGGTATTATACCGGGTGTTCAAATTAAAGTGTTATAGTTAAATACTATTTTTTATAAAAAAACGGTTCAGATTAAAGTTTTATATTTTTTTGGGGTAAACATTTTTTCTAAAATATTTTTTTATAGCTAACCATAACATGGCCAACTTTTTTTTTGCTTAGCACAATTTTCAAGTAGGTGTTACACAATAAGTAAAAGTCCAATAAAAAAAATGTTTCCTTTAAAAGTTTATTATTTTTTTATGAACTTTAAGAATGTAAAAAAGGTGGGGTTCCTATTTGAAATAAAAAAGTCCACCTTGATACGGCCATATTATGGTCAGCTATAAAAAATGAATTTCACCAAAATGTTTCCCCCAAAAAACTATAAAACTTTTGTCTGAAACTTTTTTTTATAAAATGCATATTTTCGGCGGTATTTAACCTTAATTTGAACACCCGGTATATTCCAACTACAGAGACATGTTCTATAATAGTAATAATAACTTGTGTAGCAATTTTGTACATTAAGAAAACTCAATAACACAAGACAGCAGACAGCTACAAAACAGAAAAAAGAAGAAATCGAAGAAATATGAATTCCACCCCTAAATTCAATATCCCATAAATAGCTCTCCTTTATTTTCAATTCTAAAGAACGTACCAACAATTCCTGGAACCTTATCTAAACAGTATCTAACCTATAAGTTTATCTAAACATATATCACATTTCCAAGCATTTGTTACACGTTGTACAACGCAAAAAACTTCTGTTTTCGCTTTTCTCATAATAAGGTTTATGAAAATTATTAATATTGTAGTTTTGTTTTGAAATAAAATAATATTTGTTTAAACAGACGTTTTCGGCTGTTCGATACGTAACTCCAGGTACGTTTTTAACGAGTTATAGATTTAACAGAAATGTAAAAAGAATTGAATCATTAATATTCTCTCATTTCATGATGCATACAAATGCACAAGACAATCCAGTATACAATCAATTTTTAATTAATCAGATCTGACGAGATTACTAAAAAAAATGGCGAAGGTGAACAGTCTCTCCACCAATTTTTACTTTTTATTTTCCTGTTGTAAGCGGTAAAGAAAGACCTCTCTTAAGCTGGCAGTGCCAACTGGGCAGAATCGATTAAGATCTATTACATTATTTAGTTTCTATTTTGTACTAATTTTGCACCAATAAAAATTTTGTACCATGAGCCGTTTAAAAAAAAACGTGGTGCTGCTAGGTTAATATTAAGCTAGCAGGACCATATTAAAAAAATAAAATAAAATAAAACAAAGGTAGAATTAAAAAGAACTGAATTTGTACCAATTTGTACCACCAATCAATTTTTTGTACTATGTACCATTTACAAAAAAACACATAATGCTTCTAGTTTAATATTAAGCTAGCAGGGTAACATTAAAAAATATAAAGGACTTAATTTGTACCAATTTGTCCATTAAAAAAACCTAATTTATTTAATCAAACTGCCTGAAACAACTTTCAATTAAATACAAATCTGTTATACTTAAGAAAAAGTGACTTTTTTGCACAAACTGAATCTACTGTTACTTTTGCATAAAAAACAACATAATTTGTACCGTTAAAATATAAATTTTCAGAATTTGTACCCCTGCCGTTCCTATAGAAACTATCCTAAATTCATATCAGGCTCAAGAGTAAAGTATCCTTTTGCACGAGCAGAATCAATAGTTACTTTTGCAATAAAACTAACATGATTTGTACCGTTAAAATATAAATTTTCACGGTACAAATTATAAGTATAAATATTGAATAAAAGAGGGCTCAGGATCGCCCCTTGAGGTAATCCTTGGTTGACCGTTCCAGGCCCGTGTAAAATATTGTTTTGATCTTTAATAAATTGGTAAATTTATTTAAGACCTTCCTGGCCACATAAAATCATAAGTGTTACATATGGTTGAACTCGTATTGAATAGGAGATTCCAATAATGACTGAATATACAGGCTGATGAATTTGAAAAACCAAAGTGACTAATAATATAAGAGAAACAGCAAATCTGGCAACATTGTAAATATCAAATCTGGAATCTCCGTATCCCCTAATAGGTGTACTTTAAATTTTGTACAATTAGGACTAGCAATTTACGAGATAATTGGCCGTTTTGGCGCCTTATGCAACTCCGTATATTGGAAAATGATCAGAGCCCATAAGGTCCTTTGTTGCATCCCATTTGAATTTGGACATAAGGTTTGGCGATGCGAGAGTGAGATCCACTGCTGATTTGTTTTCGTTAGGTCTACAATTTTTGGTTGGAGATCCATCATTTAATACAATAAGATTAGTATCATTAAGTGCTTGAACAAGCCATTGACCATCAATTCGATTGAGTGAAGAACCCCATAAGGTGAGGTGACAATTAAAGTCGCCACAGAAAAGAGAGTTATTTGGGAATTGCAAAAATAGTTTTTTCCAATCGTCTACACAAACATTTTTATTTGGAGGTTTGTAGACAGAAATAATTGAAAGATTAATTTGTTCTAGATAGATTGCACATGTTTCAATGTTTTTATTAAAATTTTGTTTTATGGTTAAAATTTTATATTTAAGATTTTTTGAGATTAAGATGGCAACACCTCCGTAACCAAGTTTTTGTACAGTGTGGTATCCATTGATAATTAAATTCTCGTTTGGTTTTAGCCATAATTCATAAAGAGTTAGAATGTCAAAGCTTTCATTATTTAATAATTTTAGTAAATCAGGTTTCCGTTTATTTATAGAATTAAGGTTCTATTGTAATATTTTTAAATGTCTAGAAGGTACTTGAGTCATAATCGCTAATGCTTATTGAATCAGATGGATCAATTTCTAACAAATATGAAATTTGTTCTTTAATTTTTTGACCTGTGTTTTCGATTATTTGTGGGTTATTGTCAGAGTTAGACGCGAAATTGGATATAATAAAATTTAATATGTTTTCTATTAATTTTTCTTTATATTGCATAAAATCATCCCTATATGGGTTTGGTAGTACTGAAGTGGATTTTTTCGTTTGAGATTTATTTAGAGTATTTGAGGTAGTTGGTGAAGGCGTTGTAGGAGGTGTAGAAGCTTTACGAGGGAGTGAGAATATGTGTTTTTGGTTTGTGTAGCATGTTTGATGGTGAGGTATATTGAGGTTGTGAATTTTGTGCGAGTAATGGAAAATTTTGTGTGTTGTTGAATATTGCAAATCTATTATTTGTTGTAATCTTTGAATATGACGGATTGTTTACTATACTCTCGGCCTAAAAGAGAGGTTGCGAAAAGCAATTTCTTTTTTGATATTATGTTGTTTTTGGTACATTGGACAATTTTTAGATATAGAAGAGTGATCATTATTCTGACAATAAATACAGAAATTATTAGAGGTTGAATAATTTGTATTATTATTATGTACTTCAGCACATTTTTGACATTTTTAGGACTTGGACTTGCATAACTTTTTGGTATGTCCATATTTCAGGCAACCGTAACATTGAACGACTAGGTGAATGTAAGGTTAAACGACAAACGAAGTCAAATGAATTTTGATTTTATTGGGTATTAAGTTTCTTTTAAAAGTTAAAATTATTAATTGCCGATCAACTATTTTTTCGATTCCGTTGACTTTCTTTTCATCCTTTGCACTTTGACGATTTCATTATTATCGCATTCTATATTTTGAATTAGAAAATCTTCACTAAAGAACGTATCCACCATTCTGACAAGACCTTTGCGGTGGTAAAAGAAGGTAGGTATGTACAAGTTGATTTTTGGTAATAATATCATGTCCTATTAAAGTATTAGCTATTTCATAGTTTCTAAAAATAACTTTGACCCTACTAACTCCCACAGACGTTATGTCTATTATATCTTCTTTGAATGTATTATCGGTTAGCAAAAAATAACCAATTTTCATCGGAAATAATCTGCCTATATTTTTATTGAGATGTTCCACAAACACATAAAAGGGACCTGAATCTCTTAAACTGTACTTGTTAGATAAATCAAATGAATTTATATCTTTTAAAATGCTATTATTATCATCTATCGGATTATTATTATTATTATTATTATTATTGGAGACATTAGATACATCCATGTTAGGATTTTCGGGCAGCTCCACGCCGCTCGTTTTATTTATCATTGATTGTGATTGTTCTATACTATAGACTAATTACGGAAAATAGTAGCACAAGTAGCACTGATGATGGCGTTATGCCGAGAGTGCTTTGCAATTTAAATAAATAAATAATTTTGCACAAAATAAATAAAAAATTTTGTTAAAAAAGTAAACAATTCGATGGGTTATATTTTTAAAAATTTACTTACTCCATCATCTGTCCTAGGGTATCGTTGTACTTGGGTAGGATATATTCGTCAAGATCAATGAGCAAAAGATGCGAGTACTTGTACATGGAGCGATAAAGACAATCGTTAAGGGCCGCAAATAATCCTTCCGTCCTGATGTCCTTCTGCGAGGCCATGTTTAATTTCCAAGGAAGGACCGTCACCAGACCCTTGTCGATGTAATCCTTAAGGATGCAATCGACTTGACTGCCGATCGTGTGGTTGTAAAACGTGAAATGTTCCACGCCCAAGATCCGGTTGAATTCGATGAATTCCATGATTTGAAGTGCCTGCAAATAAAAATGTTTTCCTAGACATGGTCGAAATGTTCTGCATAATGGATTGTTCGAGTTTATAGTAGAACAAATGCAAGTTATAATTTGTAAAGATATAAAAAATATCTATTATAATAGGTTTGCATTCCACATTCTAAATTAGTTTTTGTAGGATTTATAAGCGAATTAATTGGGTTTTAAAAATGGGATAAGTTTATAGATTTTGTAAAATTGTACCTAGAAAATTTAACACATCAATTATTTTTTAGATTACCATTGTAATCCAACAAGGAGTAGGTAGTGTGTTTTTTATTCCTGACAGGAAGTAACTTTTAAATGTCCGATTCCGGATGTTTGTAGTATTTTTAGCGCAGAAGCTAATACTATTGAAAAAGCTCTCTTCTGGTGCTTGAACAATATCATTCCAGAAACGATTATAGCCACAGATTCAAAATCCATATTGGAAAGCATTGAACACTTTCAATGACACTTATTTGTAAGATAGAACATTCACTATATCAGCTAAGGAATTGCAAAGTTATATGTACATGGGTAAAGGGACAAATTGGTATTTATGTAAACGAAAAAGCAGATGAGACAGCTAGTGATGTCCCAGACAAGACGAGACGAGAGAGTAGCCTCGCTCGTCTCGTCTCGTAGGGTGAGATAAAACTGTTCTCTCGTCTCGACGAGAAGGAGCTTCTCTCGCTCGAAAGAGCCTTTCTTTCGTCTTGTCTAGTCTCGTTTTTCTCGTGATAAAACAATATCAAATTTAAATTTGAAAAAGCCGAAACATGAAAAAGCGGTAAAATTTGTAAGACAAAAACAAAGAATTTTTCAAGTAATTTGCCCATTGGTACCCAAATTTGGCAATAAGAAACACTTATAAATATCTAGGAGTTATTATAGACAAACACCTCAAATGGGATTTACATATAAAATTTATAATAAGGAAATTTCAGGTAATATTATATAGGTTTAGATGTTTAAAAAATGTCCTATCCACTCACCACCTAAAGTCTTTATACTACGCTTTGGTGCAGAGTCATCTACGGTATGGAATAGTAGGATGGGGAGCTGCAATGAAAACTCATATACATTTGTTAGAAATAACACAAAAACGTTTTCTAAAACTTATTTTTGATAAGAATTTTTGATATCCTTCAAATCAATTGTATCTCGAAACAAAAATTATGGACATAAGACAATTGTATTATTATTGTGCACTTATTAAATATCATACCACCAAACATTTAACAGTAAGACCCTCTCACTCATATAATACACGCCACAAAACAGAGCATCCGATCCCACATGACAAAATCAATAACTCAACATTCATTTGATTATCTTGCTCCAAAATTTTATAATACAATACCGGAATCCTTTAGAATAATAACACATGTATCTCTATTTAAAATTAAATTAAAACAATTCATTATACAAAGACCCAGACATATAGTTCACCAATATATTGATGAAAAAGTTTCCTAGATATGTTACGTTTCGGATCAATAACTATCAAATTATTATTTAATAATTTTAATACCAGTTTTTTATTTTTATTTTCTTTTATTTCTATTATTAAATACTTAAATTTTTATTTGTCATTTTTTAAATAGATTGTTTTCCCGAATTAACTAATTAATTCTTTGTGTGTATTTTTGTTACTCTCTCTTTTTTTTGCCTTTTATATGTTATATGTAACTCTACTTTTTAAGAATAAAGTGTAATATATTTATTAATTAAATATATACAGGTACCTACTGTAATTTATAACTCGAAACAAGTGAGTTTTCACTTATCGAGTGTAACTTTTTATTCATTTAATTTATTTTAAAATATTGACTTAACATTTGTATTTATTTATGTATAACTTTTTTTAGATGAATAAAAAAATTATTATTATATTATTTATATTAGTAACTACAAGAAGCGTTTCCTTAGTAATAAACAATAATTGTTAATACGAGAATTATCAAGAATGTAACTTATTAGTAAAGGCCCAGAACATGTATGTATAAGAATAAAGTACCAGCTACTATAAATTGCCATTTGTGCAGTGTTAAATCCCTCTAACAGTAAAAAATTACTTAAATTTATAAAAGATGCTGACATTTACTCTGTACTAGCCAAAATGTTAATTATCCATTGCATACTATTGTAGAAAACGGCATTTATAAGGTATTATACCTCCGGTAATGATCCTTTGAAGTTGAAGCGGTAAATAAAAACAAATAATTTAACCTACTTTATGAATTTATTTAATGTAATTTCTGTAAAAACATGAAAACCTAAATCTGTTTACATGAACGTAAAAATATAGAAAATATCATTCAAACGAGGTATCACATGATCCTACTTTCCATTAGAAAATTTAAAGCTAGTAATTGCCTCTATCTTACGTGTCTCAAGTAAAGTACATCTCGTTATAACAAAAATATAATATCTCTTGAGTTTTACCTCGTTATTGTTTTGTCATTATCTTTTTTCATTTAGAAGTTTAAATAGAGGAGGGTACAATTTTCGCCTTCACTGTATATAATACATTCGTTTGTATTACCTTTTATTTGACAGTTTTTCGAAAAAACGCTTATACATTTTCAATTTATCTTTAAAAGTAATCTCAGAAAAGCAGAATGGATTAAATATAAGAATTGTATAAATTTTAAATAAATGAAATGAGAAATATTTTTTGTTATAAATCACTATTTATAAAACCCTAATAACACAAGTATCTTTTGTTACTACTTAATATATTAGAATAGGTGTGTTATAGTTAACTTTTTATCTATCTCAAAATCTAATATGTTAAAATTTTAAGGTATGATAAGCAATTGAAAATTTCAAATAAGCAAAGAGAAAATTGTTCGAGGGAGCCCGAGAGAAACGAGAAATTCTCGTCGAGAGATAACACTCTCTCGTCTCGTCTCGTCTCGAATCTGTTTTCGAGAGAAAATGTCTCTCTCGTCTCGTTCGAGATGAGACAAGACGAGACGGGAGATGAGAATATGATAATGAAATTTCTGATTTATATCACCTGTTTTTTAATTGTAAAATAAATCCAGGAACTGCTAACTTCATGGACAAACTAAAGAAGTTAAATTTACAATTTAATTTGGAATAATAAAGTCTCCTAAGAATATAACTACTCGCGCACTGCTAAGAAGTATACCATTTAATTTATGGATCGAATTTTTGAAACTTTCTCCAAACAAATCGCACCTTTAATCATAAAGTGGCACGACTAAAAAATGATAGTTTCGTAGAATCTGCAAAAAACTGTTTCATATTTGAAGCTGTCTTGGAATGTTTGAACTTTAAGAAAATTTACGAAGTATTAAGAATAAATGAAAATAAATGAAAATGTTACGCAATATTTTAAAGATATATGTATAATTTAGTACTTTTTAAAGACAGAAGGAAAGATGGTTTTATTCTTAGAGAAAAAAAAAATCACAGTTAGGTCACTTTAGTAAAAAAAATTGAATATGTATCAATACGAAATGGCTAAAAATTGGATAACGATTTTAGAATTACTTTGAAATATTTCTTTTTTGGATTATATTTAAAAAAATATTTCAAGTAACATAGCAAAAAATGTCTCTTTAGAAGCAAATTTGCAGAGGATGAAATTTCAAATCCTGTCACTGTTGGAACAAAACTGAAATTATGTCGCTTTAGAAAACCAGAGAGAAATAAACTGACATAAAAAGAAATCTGCACTTCCTTGCTGACTATTTCAACGTAGGTCGAAGTTACCTAAAAATATGGAACTATTTTGGGTCGTTATATTTCCGAAAGTCTTGTGTTACTTTATGATTAAAGGTGCGAAATGTTATTTACTTAATTCAAATAAAATTTTACGATTGACTTATACCGGATACAGAGTCAAACCGCACACACATCATACATCAATGACACATCTTCCGCACACAAATAAACTCATTAGTTACCTCAATTTAAATTCAAATTGCGTATAACTCACCCTATTGTATTCGAAGTGAAGCGGCTTGACACACACTCCAAATTTGTACTGGGCCGGCCCGCTTACCCCCGCCGAAGCCATCCCCAATGCCGTTTCGTTATGATTATTAATGACCGCCAACAGGTTAGCCGGCGGGTCTCTCGTTCTGGCCACTATGCTCACAGCCGCAGGAATAGTCTTATTTGTCAAAGGGCACATCACGAAACAGGCGCTGTACTTCAGGTTCCAGTTCTCTCGGATGACCTGCAAAAAAGGTGTAACGTTAAAAATGCAATATTCCTTTTTACTACATCACTATGTGAGATATGTACTATTTATTTTTTCAAACTACAGAATGGATATTATTCTAGGATCCTGACTTAAATAGACCTTCATTTATCCTTTTTCCTAATTAAATATATGCAAGCCAAATATGGTCCAGGCTATTTTTTATTAAAAATTCTTTACTTAAATCTTTATCGATAGTTACAATAATGTAATACCAATCAAGAGTAAAAGATGTAAATAACACGCCCTAGTAGGGTTGGCTACCTTTTTCCTGTCCTAAAAAATCGGACCTATCGCTCACATTTTCGAATTTTAACAAAGTCTTTCAAATACTAATATAATCAATATGATTTTATGTAGGGCCGATCAACCACTTTCAATTTAATTCATAATACTCAGCAGAAAGAAGAAAACTTAGACAACCATTTTCAGACTGATATAATATATATTACAGATTTCTCAAAAGCTTTCGACAGCGTAACCGTGGAATTCTATTAAAGGAACGTAAACAAAACTGGTATAGATAGAAAAAAAGTTAAATATCGGGTTCAATTTGAGCTTTTCTAAATTTCGTAAAAATTGGTGAAGCACATGCACAACTGAATATGTTCGTCGGCCATATTTTTTAAACTAAATAGGCGGGAAGTTCAAAAAGTTACGGCGAATGTCTCATGCTTAGAGCATATAAGACTAGAGATATCATTCAATGTATTTTGTTATGTATAAGCGGGGTCATAACTTCTGGCGTGAGGGGAGAAGGGTAGGTACGCCATTCTCAATGGCGTACGGTTTGAAAGGGTTCGTATTTATGTTTACCATTTATGCACTGCAACTTCACAATAACTAATAATTTAGATAATTGATTCGCATGATTAATAAACAAATTTATTAAACAATGTTATTTTTCTATTTATGTTAAGCTTTCGTTATACATTGTATTGTATATATGTTTTACTGGAAATTACTATATATGTTCGTTTAGGATTAAAAACTTTATTGTAGATATAGGTTTTGAAACTGTATGCTTTCAAATGAATTCGTGATCACACACTATTTTCGTTTAGTTCAAGTAGATCATTTGGAAACTGATATATTTTTTATATAGAGTAAATAAAAGAAAAACGAAAACAAATAACAATAATTTATTTCTAGTAGTAATAATATTAAATGTACATGTTTTATATTAAAATTATTAATCAATGTAATCAAAACAAGAGATAATATAAAATATAGTAGGTACCTAACTATTCGTAATAGACATATTTATTAACTTTACAAGCAGAACACACAATAGCTTATTTTGCTTCAACTGACTGATTTTGTTGAAACTTGCTGCCAATATCAACATAGTCAATATATTTTTGGGCAGTCCATTCCACCCTTTGCATAATTGCTATTTCATCCATGAAAAGATTTAAAAAAACCTTTTTTATAACTTTTTTGACTTTCTCGCCTTTAAATTTCAATGCTCTTCAGTGAATCCAGGAGAACCATCAACAGCCTAATATCACTTTGATAAAGAACTGGGATGTGGGAGACAGTTGTTAAATTTTTCCCTCGCATATGTATAAGCCTTCATACTGTAGAAGCTTAAAGTTAGTGCTAACGCTCTTAATTCAGGGGAGTATTTTGTTCTGGAATGATCTTCAATTGCTCTCTTGACCAATTTTTTAGATCCACTTGCAAGAGAAGCCTAAAATATAAACTAATTTGACCCAAAATAACATATATAAATAAAATGTTTTCTCATCATTAAAAACATTTATGAGTATTACTGGAATTAATTTTTACATCCACAAGTATATATCTGTACTTTTTATAAAAGAGTTATTTTTTATATATCGTATCATACTATTTAAAGATTCCAATCTACTTTGTAAAAAATATTTCTCCTAAGTTTTTCAATTATATTTTTTTTTGGTATAGAATCTTCTTTTGAGCAAGAGCTAATTTTCTATAAAAAAATAACTGTTTAATTTTTTTTCTTAAGCATTGCTTTCCTGAAATCATAATAATGCTTGATTATATGAGAAAATATCTTATTTGACTTCATAAAACCTTCGTTTTTCTTTTTAAGTTCTCTTTCCCTTTTAGAAGGGAGCTTACAAATATTGTGGCTTTAGGTGATGAGTTTATCAAATTTTAAACAATTTTTTGTCTTTTAAAGAGAGTTAAAGTTCGATGTCTTGCATATTTTTGTCCCTACAAATGAAATGTACATAAAATGTATTCTGCAGATTTTTAAAGATATACATTAAATTAAATTTCAAAAGTTCCAAAGGCTATTATTACCAGCACCTGTTTGGGCTTTTAAAAATATAAGAGCTAATCATATCTTTTCATTAGCCTTCTTTCTTTTCTAACTTCGAAATTTTCAATGTTGGGAACTGCAGATAAGGGCATATTTTCTTTACTGTTGTCATTTTTATGCCTGTAAACAATAATGTAATAATAATAATATATATGTCTAGTAATTAACAAAATAAGCCACATATATAAATATCGAATTACAAGTATTTACAGTTTATTTGGAAAAAACTCATTTCTATAGCAAAGTACAGGTACAGATTTTGGTAGAGATCCTTTTATTAATCTATTGCTACCTTTATAATAATGTTCAGTTGAAAATGGTCTAAACACAGACATGTGTTGTTAGAAATGCTATCAATGCTCAAACTAAATACTTGACAGTTTGGTTGTGAGATCAGCGGGAAATCTGAAATAAGTAAAAAAAAGATTTAAAATATTAATGGCAGTTGAATAAATATATACAATACAAAAATATATCTAATCCATTTTACATTATATACAAAAAGACATAAATTAAGCATTATCGCAAAGAAACCGACTATTTTCTGTCGAACGCAACCAGTTGCGGTCATGCTCAAATGAAGAAAATTCTACAAACATGTTTTCTTATTCATTTGCCCACTTCCCATTTTAAGTTACGTTTATGGAATATAGAATACTTACTTGTGAAACGTCAACCAGGATCCTTTTAAGTATGTATTATTGCAAACTATACAAGCTTTCGGCATAATTAGCACTTATTTTATAATAAAATTACACTTAAGGAGGTCCTTTCGCCACACCTCTCGCCTCAAATGTTAAAAAAAAAGTTATTTGATTATTACTAAAATTAATTTTTTTCTAATAGTTGAAGTCCTTATTTATCTAATACTGAACTTTTAACTATACCTTACCGTGTAAATTTTTGAGAATTTTTTTTTTAAATGTGTGTTTGTACAGTGCCTCACGAGAAAGTAAGTTCTCAACAACAATTCTCGAATTATACTATTATTTATTGATTAGATGGAGTAGAAAAAAACTAAAAATAAGGTTTTTGAAATATTTAGATTTTGTTTTATACAATAAAATATATATAGTAAACCGTGGAACTTATTGAGAAATTAATAATAAAAAATCACAAAAAATTTCCAAGTAACCTAGTTGAAAATTTTTTGTGATTTTTTAATAATAATTTCTCAATAAATTCCACGGTAACCTATATATTTTATTGTAAAAAACAAAACCTAAATATTTCAAAAACCTTATTTTTAGTTTTTTTCTACTCCATCTAATCAATAAATAATAGTAAAATTAATTATAATTCGAAAATTATTGTTGAAGTGTTACTTTCTCATAAGACACTGTACAAACACACATTTAAAAAAAAAATTTTCTCAAAAATTTACACGGTAAGGTATAGTTAAAAGTTCACTATTAGATAAATAAGAACATCTACTATTAGAAAAAAATTAATTTTAGTCACAATCTAATATTTTTTAATTAACATTGGTGGCGAAAGGACCTCCTTAAAAAGTTTATCAAAGGGAAACCTCGTCCAAATTGTCTTTGGACGCCACAAAAAATTATATTTTTAAAAACGAAAACAAGACGTCAAATGAAATGTCATTTATCACAAATACGCGCGTTATTTAAATTCGCCAATCATAAATCGTCGTGTTTCTAACTCGCCAATCATAATGCGTCGTGTACCGAACACCGAAGGGGTTACCCCCCTCAGTACATAACAAACCCATTTGAGTAACACCTCTACTATTATATGCTCTAAGGTCTCATGCGCTAGTTCAGTGTGATGTCATTTTGGTTCCACTGACATTTAATTCTAACCAAACTTTTAACAAAAACATCAATAAATTTGACATATACGTTTTTACTGTTTTTATTTTATTTCAAAATATTGTTTACATGTCATAAAAAATAGTTTAAAGGTATGTAATTGGTAACTAAACGATTGTATATTGATACATGCTATCTACTTACTTTAGGAATATACTTATAAAAGTAAAAAAAAAAAAAACGATATAATTTAGGTAAACAAAACGCACACAAAAATCTACTGTCACTTTAATTGGAACAATAATTACATCATCACTGAACTAGCGCATTGTGGAACATTTTCCCCTACATTTAAAAACTGCCAAAATATGTGCTGCTTGACAGCGGATCATTGAATTCTTCTAGGGAGTAAATTGCATTTCAGCAAAGACGTTATGAGATATTTTGATAGTTTTATAGCGCATTATGTTGTTTGTTATTTAAGGGTAACTTCTTGAATAAAAAATAATTAGCAAAGTACAGGATGTCCCAATTAAAAGTAGCCCATTTCCAAAGCTTATAATTTTTAAACAAATCGTAGAAACATGCGGTTCTTGCTAATATGTGTTATTTTGCTATAAGTTTTGCTCTAGTGACACAGAAATTATGTATTACCTATACAGGGTGTTTTTTTAAATTTCCTTTTTAAATTCACCGTAACCAAATTTTATCAAATGGAAACTTTTGATTGAGACACTCGGCTTTTTGTATATTATTATAATATAACCATCTAAAGATTTTATTTCTTAAAACTGTTACGAACGCCATTGGTAACTACAAACAAATAAACGTCCATAACGTCAGCAAATCGAAAACGTTTCTACCTTAATTACTCCGCCTCCGGGTCAATTCAC